GTCAACTTAATGTCACTGAATCAGGGGTCTTTGACGTTGAGTTTTAGCTCTTTGGTTTTCTCCGAGTCTCTTTGATTTTGTGTCAGTAGTTGTTAGAAACACCATTTTGCCAGTCAATGTCTAACAAGATCTTTCGTGAAGGGTACGTACTCATTCAATTTTCTTAACTTAAAAAAGAGCTTCATTTTGCTGCATCTATTCCTGTGTAAAACAGGAGCATCCATTCCTCCTCTATCTGGAAGCCAAACAAAATGTATCACCCATCTCCTTGGATGGCCCAGCCACCTGATCATTGAAACTATGTCGATACGATACAATAAGACAAAGTCCTATCTCAACCTTGCAATGTATCGCAATTCGATGTCGTATCAGGCTGCTTTAAGCTTTCAATAATCGGCCAGCAGAGTTATGGTATCCCTAGCAGATTGATTGAGATCCTCTTACTTACATGCCAATTATCATTACTTTAAAAATTATCTTTTTATCCAGCCAGAAGTATATCTTCATGATCTACACTTTGCTTCTGAGCCTTGCCTTATCGTATCAGCCCCAGTAAGAGGGAGGATATACCTACCCACCTAAATCGGAATGGAAAGCTTTGTTTAAATCGCCGCCCCTCATTCTTGCTGCTTATGTGAGGGGATAATCTCCACCCTGTTAATGAATACTTTATCTCAGTTCTCTGCTTTAAATGAGGACCAGTTTGCCAGAAGGAACCTCTGTGTCATTCACATATTGAGTGTTTGTTTACATCAAGTCATAAGGTTATGTTTGCACCCACTTATTGCTAGTTGTGTTACTGAAGTATTCCATGTTGACCTAGCGAGTACTTTCTAAGCTCAGCTCCTAGCATATAATTACTCCAGTGAAACAGTGCACGTAAAATATCAGGTGTTCGGAGTTCAGTATCTACCTACCTAGTTTCTGCACCGCTAATTGTCCAAGGCTGAATGTGATAAGTTCACTAGGTATTATTTATCAGAAGAAATGTAAAGCTTGCACATTAATATCAACTTCCATATATTAACTAAATGCTCCTATCAAGAGATTGCCGTTTCAGTTTATGCCTGTCAGTGGACCTTAAAAACTCTAGGAAAGTAAGAGGTAAATTCTGCACAATTCTATCCTTAAAATGCCTGTATTATGACCAAATACTTACTCCGTGGCTAATGCATTTTTGAAAATAACTTAAAGCACTGTGTGGGCAAGTATGTGATTTGACAAATTTTATGGTGAAGCGATATTATTCGAAATTAATCCAAGAAAAAGGCATGCTATTTCATTGCATGCGCAGCTATTTTTTCAATGGCTGATACTTAATAATGTTAGTAAAAAATTGTTTTAATAGGTATTGATTGTCAGAACCTGCAGCCTGATTGTTGAAATTTTGTGTTTGCCGGGTAGACATAGATGACATAGGTCAAAAGGCGGGACGTGATTGGTCGGCGCTATGTCTTGTCGCTGTTCTGTCGTGCCTCTGTCGGGTGGAGCCCTCGGCAAGCTAAAGGCATCTCTCAAGTTTCTGACAGTATGTTGTCCATTCAACCAGACAAAGGCACGTTAAAGCAGCGATAAGACATAGTCGATCAATCACGCCCCGCCTTTTAACCAGTGTCATCCGTGTCCATCCGACAAACCCAAACTTTCAACAATCAGGCTGCTGACACCCTCAAGTTAAGAAGATCATCTTGTATTTGGATAATATAAAAATATACTTAGGTACTTATTAATTGAGAAAACATGCGATAAGTTAGTCAGTTTCAGCACTTTTCAGAGATTGATATCCTTGAGAGTCCTTCCGTCAAGCATCGAATAAAAAATTTGAACTCCTGAAAAATAAGTTACGTACTAGCTGCTTCAGCTCGCTACGCTCGCTTGCACCGCTAGCCGGGGGCAAGCCTCCTGGACCCCCAGTCACTCGCTCCTCGAGTGACTGTTGGCTCGCTTTGCGAGCCAAATTTTACTACTACAAGTAATTAGAGGACTTCCTGGTGGCAAAATGATAAATTCAAAAACAAAGAAGAAGAAACTAATAATGATCAACTCCTACTTCTAGAAAAAGAAACATCCTTGAAAAATAAAAAAACACTACTGTAAAAGAAAATCAAAACACTTTGTGAAAATTAAACGGTGCGAAAGGGTGAAGATTAATCTTCACCCTTTCGCTTCCAGGAGAATCAGTGATTAATCACTGATTCTCTTGGAAGAATACAAAAGCTGCTGTGAAAAAGTTAATTATTCATAAAACCTGTGCTGCCGTAAAAAGGAACATTATCTTCTGAAAAATACACATCAAAATTAAGTAATTTTCATGTAAGAAAAAAACTAAAGACAAAATCAAGAAAGCAAAACTCTAGACGCACTAATAAGAAACCTGGACAAACCGAGCACTGATTATGAGCAATGCGACGGAGGAAATGCGCAGCAGGTGTTCCGAGTCGGACAGCATAAGGAAGGGAGTGATACTGCCATAGGACCCATGCCAGGGTAGAAGGGTGACACGTGTTGTGAGCAGGTAGGGATGGGTTTACGTGGAGAGGGAAACGGAATATCAGAGGGTGGGAGGTCCCCCAACCATACGACTCGTCTAGCGTCAAAAACGCAAATATATCGTCATCAAATCGAGGTAAATTTTGCAACATTGGTCGCGCAAATCGAAAAACCAAGGAGTGCTGGCACATCTACAGCCTAAGAGCTTTAATTTAAAACAAATCCGAGGAAAATCGGTCCAGTAGTTTCCGAGATTGAATTAGGATAAACTGTCCAAACTGAAGGAGGGCAAAAAAAGCCTTAGGATATTAAATATATAGATGTGGATGTTTCAATGAGAAATTAAGTATTCAGCGGAGATGAATGTATTTCTCATTTCATTGCAATCATCAACAATTTTTCTTGTACAATGCTCCTTAGAGTATGGTGTAGAGTCTGTAGGCAAAAAGTTTGGATGTTTGGATGCTCTAAAGAATAGTAATCCCAAAAGTCATGAAAATAGCTGGGTAAAAGTCATGCCATTGATATTCAACCCCTCCCCCTCCCCTGTCTACCTTTTCCTGTGAGCCTTTCCAGTCGGTACAGATGCATTTGACTACCAGCTCCGCTACTTTCAACTACCTATTTCCAGACCGATCACTAGTCAGAGGGTGCTATTAAAATTTTAGCTCAATGTGTATGTGCGTTAGCAGATAATGTTCACTTTCCACTCATTCAGGATTTTCAAATAGCTAGTAGTACCTACATAATATTTTATTGCCACACCTTTTCCCATTGAATAACGAGCTGATATAAACTACTATGGCCTAAGCCATGAGAGGTGCTCATCGAGTGGTGGCCCTAAACAGGGCCGTTGGAAAGGGGCAAGCCGGCCGGCTGTATGAGCTCCGCTGGGTGATGTGCGACGTGAGTCCCATGTGACTGACGGGCGTGGAGTGTGCACGTGAGATGAGCTCGTGACTTATGCAGCCGTGACAGTGTCAGCCGCGCAGCTCCAGCCGATGAGCTGCGCTGGTTGGCGGAGTGGTGGCTAGCCGCCACACAACCAAAAACCCTCAAAAACATTTTCGGACAAAAAATCCGGTCGAGGAAATTGACATGTTATATTTTATTAACCAAAAACATTCCCTTTCACCCCTCCAAGAAGGTTGATAAAACTATGAGTCAATGAGATAGGCAAAAACCTATCTTAAATTCTCAAGGTCCACGAGGACCACATATGTCCAAATACTTACTCAATAAGGTTTTAAAAGAAGAAACAAAAAATAAGTCCTTAACAATTAGAAAATTGAAAAAAAAAAATCGAAAAACCGATTTTGTAGTTCATGAGTATGTACGTAAATCCCTCGAAAGGACTTGAAATCACAAAATCGGTCGAAAATATCTAATGAATTTTCCCCTTCAATTATTTGTTCCGCAATAAGCACGACTCGCTTGGACCTTTTCATACACGAGCCGCACGAAACTGATTTCTTCTTTCTTACCTACTGATTGTGAGGAGAGCAGGAGCATTTACCTTTTCCTTCAAATGTGCAGGATGCAACAAGCATGACTCTTGCGTTTGCAGAAACCCTTTCATTACGGAGATCGCGATAGCCTATACCGCGTTCATTTCTAAAAGGGATTACTCCTTTTATTAAAACCTTATTGAAAATTTTTTTGGACGTATGTGGTCTTGGTGGATCTTGAAAATTTAAGAGAGGTTTTTGCCTATCTTATTGACTCATAGTTAGTTTTATCAACCTTCTTGGAGGGGTGAAAGGGAATGTTTTTGGTTAATAAGATGTAACACGTCAGTTTCCTCGACCGGATATTTTGCCCGAAAATATTTTTGAGGGCTTTTGGTAGTTTATACTCATTACCAGCAGCTTTAAAACCAACACAATGAACCTTCCCTACACCCCAACACAACCCTCCTCGATAACATGTCAAAAGCCCGTCTTAGCAAGATATCTTTTTCCGGAGAATCTATGTCAATTTTTGACCAAAGGGAAATTAAGGAAGGGGTCGCTGTCCCCCTCTTTAAGTTATCATTGTTGGACTTTACATGGTCCGATTTTGGATTTTTATGGGTCAATTTAACACGAAATGTTTCGTACTTTTCGATTTTAATGCAGTCGAATCGCAATTCTATCGGGGACCCCAACTTTTGGGATCGTGCCCCCCCTTAACCCCCCAAGGGAGTCTGGGGGGGATTACGGGACCATGAAATTCAGATTCCTTGGGGTCAATTCTCTATTCAACCCTGTGGTCTCCGACTTCGTACGACCGAAATCAACCGAAAAAAAGGCTTGTTACGAGTGCTCTGGTGCTTTTAGTAAGATGATGATTTAAAACAGTAATAGTTTCCATTAATTGAACTTAGGTGCTTGACAAAGTGCTTTTGAATTTCTGCCTAGAACACGACCATACGTCACATTTGGAATGTGAAGGGTTGACAAATCAGAACAAATGACGCACTTGTTCATTGACGAACGTTAATTTGTAGAAAATATTTTTAGTTGACTTACTTTTGCAGACACTGATGTGTCTCTGAGTGTCGTAATGACAGGAAAGTCCCTGACTAGCGTCGCAGGGCGCGGCGGCGTGGCAGGGCTCACCGAGGCCTCCCTGTCTCTGACACCGCCGACAGCAGTCGCAGTCATCCTTTGTCCCTTTTCCTGTCTCTGGCCCGCACTTTCGAACCAAGTTCCGACTCGTGGAACAGTCGCATTCCTGTGAACAGTCCTGCGAACACATGCAAGAAAAACAGGGATTTCAGAACGAGTCATTTCGGCACGGGGGCTGTTTATAAATTGTGGTATGCAGTGTAGGGGGAGGGGAAATGATCCCACCGAACATTGCCATAATTCTAAAAGTTGCGTACATCTTTGGGGAGGAAAAGAATACTGGGCTAAGTTTATTGGAAATATCCATAAATATCACAGAAAAGATAAGAGTGTACCAAGAACGGTGTCCTGATCCTAAAATTCCACCAAAAATCGCAGATCAGAGAATTTGTTTTCCAAATCCAGGTTTTTTTTGTTCATTGTCCTAGTTTTCGATTTCATCCTACCCATGGAGTTCTAGCATACTAATGACAATGCGCTCAAATGGTGTACCGGCTCATCAACAAGATGGCGGACGGGGGCTTCACATATTAAGAATAGATCCATCCATTATGCCTTTATTTATTGCTTCTGATATCAATGAGCGAAGGACGACAGTCATTATTCAATAATTTATCTTTACTTTTTCGCTCCCCTTGTGGGTAGAAGAAAAGTTATCATCCTCAAAAAAAATGTTGAAATTTCATCATTTCAAGGCGTTTTAAGGTGCCTAAAGTCATAAAAACCATGCTTGTAAAAATGTGTGTTCATCCGTCCGAGTGAGACAAAATAATAATAAAAAAAATAATTTAAGAAAAACTAATGAAAGGGCTAATCGATTTGATGACGCCACTTCATTGAGGCTCGCTCGCCAAGCTAGCCTGAACACACCCCTGACCGGGGTGCATGCCTGTGAAAGCGTGCAAAACGCGCCCCGAACAGCTAGTTTACAATATTTTTCCTCAAAAGAAAACCTCTTTAAACCGAGTTTTGGTCAAAAGAACAAGAGTAAAAATTTGGTTAATTTTTCCAATAGTTCCATTAATTAAAGTTAGGTAGTACTCCATCGTTATATTGTGCGTCTTGTTGTCTTATCGACCTTTTGTCGTGGAGAAAAATATTCAGGTCCTTTGCAACGAATGATAAGAGCAATGTTCCCTCGGCTATCACTCGGGGTCTTGACGTACGAAAAAAAAAAACAGAAGAAAAATCCAACATGAACATGTTGAAGAAGCGTGCCGAATACTTGAAATGTTGGACACATACCTACTATTTTCACGGCTTTGCTATTTGTATCAATTTGTACTTTTTACTAAATTTGGGAGAAAACATTGATTCATGAACATTAAATGTAAATTAATTTTAAAGATTCCGTCCAATTATATTGATTTTAAGCTGATATGCGGCATTTACGCACGACCGCGATTTGGACTGACTACCGTCCATCAAAATCGCGTTAAGTTGATCTCTTTGGATTTCCAACTGTAACTTCTTTCCTGTTCAGCCGATTTTTACAAATGAGGTCTTTTTTTATTTGTATTTTAACGGAAATTTAGGACACACTCACTAAATAGACGGAAAACAATTTTTGTGAAAATTTAGTGGATCCTGACGTCATTGTGAATGGTTAATCGGGCGTAAAAGAGAAGGTTTGACGGCAGCGAGGCGACCTGCGCCTTGCCGTCTTTTATTGCCTTGCTTGAAACCGGACACTCAAAGCTATATCCGAAGATAACTGCAGTGGTTTAAGTGGATGTCTGCAGGGGCATATGGTTAGCACATGGTACAATGAGTCACGAGGCTCATCACAGATCGCACTAACAGCGCAAGACGCTCATCGACTAGAAAATTTTGACGAGAAGAAGCTACTAGAGTTGAGTCCTCCAAGCGTAGAAAAGCTCATATGAGGTTTCTGTCAAATGAAATAAGATGGCTTGGGCAGGAAAATGTTTTCAAGGGTTTCCAATATTCGCAGTTCATTCGGTATTTTAGTAAAAGACCATCAGGTTTTGACAGTATAACAGTTTAAAGACAAAACAAGCGGGAAAGCTCTAATACGTAGGTATTAGAGAAGCGCTCAGCGGTCAGCGCAATTTTAATGATTCTCAGCTTTAATTTACTACCTATTAACTGATTTTGTTCAAATCTGCGATAATAAAATAAAAAAATCCTTAATATATTATTAAAAACATCTAAAACTGTGCTTTGCCCCCCTCCCCCCAAAAAAATTCCAAGATTCAAAATAAAAAATAATGATCCATTACTTACGTATTGAAATGTTAATACATAAAAAATCCTTGATTTCTCATAAAAACAGAAAAAACTATCACGGCTCCCAAAAAATGACTTTTCTTAAACACTTGAAACAAGCAGAGACCTCCAACACAATGTGTTGATAAGGCGCGTCATTAACTTGCACGTATCAACCCCTCTAGTTTTCATTTACTGAGATTTCAAAATAGGCAAGTAGCACAACAAGAGAATTCATACGACCCAACACTGCGACGTCAACGACGCACTTTGACGAGACCGTGTATTGTGAATGTAGAAAGCCATTCGAACGAGTTTAAGTTTTTTGATCTGCCCGAAGCAAAATCTTATCAGATTCTTAAAGAAAAGTGCTACGTAATAATTTAAGCGAAGAAAGGAAAAATCTGTCGAACTCCTGAAAGATGAAGTTGATTTAAAGGTATTTTGGGGCTAAAATACCCGAATCACCGGTATTATAAATCCCGTAAAATTATTGAAAAGAAATTGACTCGATATAAATGCGATTGCATTAGATTTGTCTTGATTTTGTTATTTTAAACGTATTTCTTTGCAAAGAAGTTCAACCATGTCCATGCATTCATTCATGAATTGAAAGTGAGCAATCTACATCCCGAAAATCTACCGATTTGCCGTAAAAAATTACAGAACTTGATATACCAGGTCGATGCACCCACTCGTTGAATTTACCAACCAATTTCGTGAATGCACATACAGGGTGTCTCACGAAAAAGGAGCAACCTTGAATATCCGCCGAACGCGTCGGAATTTTGAAAAACGGTAAAAGACGTGTTCGTTTATATCGAGGGGGGCACCTTTTGGCGTACCTGACATTTTCAAACCGCGGGAGGGGCGCGGGGCGGGGGGTGCCCCACTCGTAAGTCGAACTTTTCGAATGGCACCCCCACTTTTTTATTTCAAAAATCAATTCTACGCAAAAAAACAAACCACCCTGACCAAACCGAATGTAAATCGGACAATTTTTCAGTGATTGGCAGAGGTTGAAACATTTTTTTCATGATCTTTTCAAATATTTCCCACGCCCAATGGAATTGCCGTATCAAACCAAACTCTCCGCCAAAAAAATTCTTAAACATTGCACTTTCGATGAAAAAAAAAAATCAAAAAAATCTACTGCACTCGAAATCTGGAGCACGCGGAGCCCTTCTTTGCGACAATAAAATTCGTTTTACCGAACATTTCCGAGGGGCACTCATCGGGAGGGAGTATTAAGTTTTAGACAAGAATTATTATTCTTTTTTCTGAAGCAAAAGAAACTGTGTCCATGAAAAAAACAGCTAAGCAGAAAAACGACGCCCCGCGGAAAAATAGCGTATTCTCAGAAGTGTCAAGGCCCGGCTCAAGTCATTGACCCCCCCCCCCCCNCCCCCCCCCCCCCAAAAAAAGCTAATCCATTTGTTTTTCTACTTAACTGCTTTTTCATGTAAACGATTTCTTATGCTTCAGAAAAAAGAAAAATAATTCTTGTCTAAAACTTACTACTCCCTCCCAATGAGCACCCCTCGTTAATGTTCGGTAAAACGAATTTTAATGTCGCAAAGAAGGGCTCCGCGTGCTCCAGATTTCGAATGCAGCAGATTTTTTTATTTTTTTATCGAAAGTGCAATGTTTAAGAATTTTTTTGGTGGAGAGTTTGGTTTGATACGGCGATTCCATTGGGCGTGGGTAATTTTTGAAAAGAGCATGAAAAAAAATGTTTCAACCTCTGCCAATCACTGAAAATTTGTCCGATTTACATTCGGTTTGGTCAGGGTGGCTTGTTTTTTTGCGTAGAATTACCTTAATTAAATTACCTTACCACTCTAAGACATTACAACGGACTTTCAACATCGTAAGCTTTTCAAATGTACACCTCGGATATCTGCTGCGTCATACATTTTTGCATAATCAAACCATTTAATTTTTTAAACTCTTCCTGATTTTTAATTGTAAAGCGTCACGTGCTTGATAGTAATTGGGGTTGCTCTGATACCAGGTGAGTAGGTATATCGTAACAGGTCGATGGTTTAACTAACAGACCACGTATATCGATTGCGGTGCTTGAAAATCTCCGCTCCCACTTTATTCTTTTGACGGAGAACAAGTCAATTTTGCTCCTTGGTTTTCACAGAGTTTTCTTCGCACAGAGAAGAAAAATTGCAGAAGTTTTTAAAAATTGACGTTGGTTAGTTTTCCGTGTAAGAAAGAAAGTAGGTACCTATGAGAGGAGGTTTAAAAAGTTGCAAACCGAGATACGATGTCTGGTAGTTTCACCGTCGAACTGTATTTTACAGAAATTACATTGTGAGTATGGAGCTGATCACTAGAATAACAATGCATAGATATGTAGGATAAAGGTGATTGCAACAGTAATTCTCATGAATGTTTCATGACACCTGCACAAAAGATCAATGGTTTCTGAGTGATGATAAGGACTCAAGGGTAGGTAGGTTTCTTTAAAACGCATGATTCTTATATGTATCTGTTGAGGTATGGATTTTTTGCCTGCTGAGGAGTTGAGTAAATTAGAAACCATCACTCAAAAGTTAATAAAATTAGGTGAAAACACGATCAAACTGTGGAAATTTAGATACTTCAAGAATGGAGAATGTAAACAAAGACTTACCTAACGTCAACAAACTTTCATAATAATATTATGAACTCAATTTCCAAAAAGTGTCTGTGGTTCAGGAATTTTGTAATCAAAGGTATAGGTTCTCCAACTGGATGAGAGATGGCCGTATTGATCATTAGACGAAATGGGTTTTTTACGATAAAACAATGTAATCTCCAATTTCTGCCAAGGAGACTTTTCCTGCTATTAATGAACCCTAGTAGCAGAGTTGTATAAAAAATTTGTTTTTAAAAGTA